GAGAGAGAGAGAGAGAGAGAGAGATCTGTACACTGCAATCTGTACACTGCAAGGTAATCCGTGATTACATAACACAATGCAATACTGACCGCATGTTTCTTGTGTTGCATATAAAAAGAGCCCAAAATTGTTACCTTCACATAAACTTTGACTCCAAAATGGTTTACCGTTTATGTTATGTAAGAAACAAAGAGTTAGTATTGCATTGTGTTATGCAATAAAGGGTTGAACTAACTAAATAAGGTAACTCTTGGGTCTGACATTGCATACATTTTCTATATGTTTCAGCATGTTTTATGTATAGGTAGTACATGCAAGTGATTGTATAATATATGCATAGAAAGTTAATTCCAATTTAATCTTGGTATTAATTACTAATTATAATTACTTATTATTGAAAAGCAATGTCTGAGACAATAGTTATGAAAGATCTGTTGGATGTGTCGCTCGAAGACAATGAAAAACTTCGCAAAGAGTTTGTATTTGAGTGAAAACTGTGTGAAATAACGAAAAAGTTTTGATTTAGTTTTTGTTTAGTTTTAATTGTTTTTAATTAACGGAATGAGTGTTTGATTTGTGAAAAACAATGTCTAAGACATTAACCAATAATGAGATGGAAGTGTTGGATGTGTTGCGCGAAGACAACCAAAGACTGGTTAAAGAATTGTCATTTAAGAGACAATTATCTGATTGTTTGGAAAAAGTTAGGGAAAAATCAATGGATTTGATAAACAATTGTAATTGTAATCAAAATATTAACATTTATCACGAATTGATTAAATTTAATCAAATGTATCACTCGTTGAAAGACATGCAAAATGTTAACACAATTCAAATCAGCGCTAAATCAGGTATTGATTTGTAGTAACTTTTTAAAATAATTAGTTTTTAAACATAAACCACCGCTTATTGTGTTTACATAATATTGATTTAATTAATTGTTTTATTTTTATATAAAACAATGTCTAAAGTGTTGGATGTGTTGCGCGAAGACAACCAAAGACTGACCACTGAGTTGTCATTTGAGAGACAATTGTCTGACTGTTTGGCAATAATTAGACAAAAATCATTTGTTTTGATAAACAATTGTAAATGCAATCAAAATATTGAAAAATTTCGCGATTTAATTGAATACGAGTTTCAATCGTTGAAAAACATACAAAACTCTAACAACAAACAAATCAATACTAAATCAGGTATTTATAAAATTATACACAAATCGCTGTTAACTTATAAACAATTTAGTAATTTATATAAAATATTTTATTAAACAAGGAGTGAATGCAATGAAGTTTTGGCAACTATTAAGACGCAAATTACCGCAACTGATCTCCAGCGTCGACACGAAGACACACCGGAGACCACTGCTGTCCTGCGATATGAATGCCAACACAACTGGTGGTCATGTGATGGCCACCGATGCTATCAAAACCAATAGCGATATCATTGAATCCAATGTCTTCATTGACTCGAGTGTTAAACCCAACACTTATCCAATAGTTTCCGGTAATTATTAATACAATAGAAATTACATTTAATAAACATTTTAATCATATTTTTACAGCAAATATGACACAAGAGATGGACAAACCGTTGACAACATCGCAAGAGACCAGTCATATAATCGACGGCACGGACTCTAATGACACGGCAGTCAATGCGTCAACCGTTCAATTAATGGGCGGGACTTTTGCCGACCAGCCGTTGACTTCCGACTCTCGATCCACGGCTTGCGAGACAGACAACGGATCGTACGTGAGTCCGGTCGAGCGTATGACCGATTTGGTGGACAATATTGGCAGCAAATATTGCCGACGGCTTAATTTGCCAGCAGTGGCCAAAGAAATTTATCAGTGTTTGCACACCGGCTGTGACCGTTGGTTCGCATCGAGACATTATCTTCATAAACACACGGCTAGTGCTCACCCGCAGTGTCCGCCCCAGAGTCGGACCGATTTGGGCGAACATATTGGAGCCGAAGTTCACTGCATGAGTGCACCGATGCTGCGTTCGTGCGGCCATAGCGTTGGGATCAATTGCCAGTGTCTGTCATCACCACCACAACAGACATTCAGTCTTCCAGTACGCGAAGCAACGCCGGTGTCAGTACGAGTTGAGCGGAATAGGGGGTCAGACACTGACCAACGGCTAGCAGCCGACCGGTTGCCAGTGTATGTTTGCCATGAGCCCGGATGTGACTATAAAACCAATGGTAAGCATGGGTTAGTCATCCACAGCCATGGCGTACCCGAAGCCAAATCACACAATAAGATAATCCGCGCTAAGACATGGACACCGGAAATAGGTTTAAAAATACACAACGATTTGCGTCACACGAGGACACGGAATGGTCAGCTCAAGAGGTATAGATGTCTTAACGTGGACTGTAGGCGTCGGTTCGTATCGCTGGACAAACTACACGACCACGCGGTCAGTGTTCACCAGCAGCGGCGGTATCGGTACCCTTACGACAGGTGCGGCCGATCGTACGCCACCACAGATGGCCTAAGGGTTCACACAGTTGTCTGTCACCCAAAGCCCAGCGCCCGTACTATTGGTAGCGATTTGTTAGACACGGACTTCGGTCGTCACAACACCGCCAACAGTGGCCGCCATTTATCACACGATAAGATCATCGGCGCGAAGACGAGGTCACCCGAAGGGTGTCTGTCGCCCAGCGATATGTGTGGCCAACAGTTGGCCACCTATTACAACGACGACAGCGACGATACCATTGAACCCAATCCCGTCATTGACTTGAATCCCACTGAAAGTGGTAAACAAAACACAATAGTTTCCGGTATTTAATGACAAATAACTTTCGCGTCATTTAATATTTTAATTACATTTTTCCTGCCATTTATTTAGCAGACAATGGCCTCGAAGTCCTGCCATTGATCGGTGACGACGGGACACAAGCGGCGGATAATCAGTTTAAAACTAAACAAGAGATCATTGATATACTGGACGACAGCGACAGCGAAGACACGGCCGCAACACCAGTCACTCAATCGCTGCCCACAACAGCAATCACTCCAATGGTTCCAACGGCTAATGTCCACCACTACGGGAGTGCGGCCGCTGTCACTGTTAATCAAACGGCTGATATTTGTCTATCAAACTCGTTAATAACTCAGCTGTTGAACAAACCCACTCGTAATTCATTGGACACAAACGGCACATCTCAAGCCACGGCACCGGCAACTGATCCCGAAGTCTATCTGTGTCTCGAATGCCGCAAAACATTTACCACAAAACATGGTTTACAGACACACAACGGTATGTTTCACCGGAAACCTGTGGATCAGTTGCACGCGTCCGGTGATCAACAGTCGGCGGCTCCGGTGAGTCCGGTCGAGGGCTGCGGTCAGCGATTTATGTTTGGCAGCGAAATCAAGTCTCATATGGCGTACCGACACTCGTCTGACCGGCCGTTTGCGTGCGGTTACCCCACCTGTGGCTACACGTGTAAAACCAAAGCAATGTTACGCAGCCATAAAGTCCGTCACACCGAGCGTGGCCTCGACTACCGGTGCTCGTGGCCGGGCTGTGACCGCGCGTATCAATCCAAAAGTAGTTTGCGCGGCCACTTTAAAATGACTCACGCGGCCGACCAGTTGCCGGTGTATGCGTGCCATTGGCCCGGATGTGACTTTAAGACCAAAGATAAGAAAACGTTAAAAGTGCACCAATTGGTCCACAGCTCGGACAGGCCCTACGCGTGCGAATGGCCCGGTTGTGACTATAGGGGCAAATGCAAAAGAACGATTAGACAGCATTTGATAACCCACAGCACCGACCGGTCACTGGCCTGTGATTGGCCCGAATGCGGCAAAACGTTTAAACGAACGCAACTCCTTAAAGAACACCAATTGGTTCACTCGGGACCGCAGATACCGTGCGATCGCAAGGGCTGTGCCTTTAAAACTAAACATATGTCGGCGCTTAAAAAACACAATCGACTCATACATAAAAGCGATTAAAAAGCGTATATTTTGTGTATCCATTGGGTTGTGATTTACTGATCAATGGATGTGATTAGTGATCGCTCAACACATTTATCGGATCATTTAGACGATGATTAGGGAACAAGTTTTTAGATAAGAGATATTTTAAATTGTTACATTAATATTTGAATTAATAAATACGATTAAATAAACATCACCATGATCAATCAAAACAATTTAAACAAATTTAACTGTTAAATTATAACAGCAATTTTAAAATAATTCATTAAATAAATAATAAATTATTGTTAGTTGGCAATATGCAGTTTAGGGACAAATATTAATTTATACCTGAATTAGCGTTGATTTGGTTGTTGTAACATTTTGTGTATTTTTCAACGAATGATAATTTTTTTAAAATTTAATCAAATCGTGAAATATTTCAATATTTTGATTACATTTGCAATTGTTTATTAAAATCAATGATTTTCTATAATTATTTGCCAAACGCTGAGACAATTGTTTTTCAAATACCAATTCTTTGGTTAGTCTTTGGTTGTCTTCGCGCATCACATCCAATAAGTGGTTGACATTTATTTCAGACATTAGTTTTCAATAATAAAAACTTATTTACAATATTCAATGTTCTATTTAATTACAATAATTAAAACTTAAAACTTTTAATCGCATTAATTCTAATCACTTGAATGTCATTCACATTATAACAGATAACATGAAATATTCAAAAGTTGCGCCGCAGTTGAAAAAAGTTACCTTTTTAAAGGTAATCAGTGATTGCATAACACAATGCAATACTGACCGCATGTTTCTCAGGTTGGCTATGAAAAGAGCCCAAAATTTGTACCTAAACTTCACATAAACTCTGTATGTCATTCACATTATAACATGAATAGAAATATACAAAAGTTGTGCCAAACTTGAAAAAGTTGTTTTTTAAGGTAATCCGTAATTACATAACACAATGCAATATTGACCGCATGTTTCGCAGGTTGGCTATAAAAAGAGCCCAAAATTGTTACCTTCACATAAACTTTGGACTCCAAAATGTTTTACTCTTTATGTTATGTAAGAAACAAAGGATTAGTATTGCATTGTGTTATGCAATAAACGGTTGGGTTAACTAAATAAGGTAACTCTTGGGTCTGACATTGCATACATTTTCTATATGTTTCAGCATGTTTTATGTATAGGTAGTACATGCAAGTGATTGTATAATATATGCATAGAAAGTTTATTCCAATTTAATCTTGATATTACTTAATAATTATAATCACATATTATTGAAAAGCAATGTCTGAGACAATAGTTATGAAGAATCTGATGGATGTGTCGCTCGAAGACAATAAAAAACTTCGCAAAGAGTTTGTATTTGAGAGACAATTGTGTGAATGTTTGGAACAAATTAAGGATAAATCAATGGATTTAATAAATAATTGTAATTGTATTCAAAAAATTGAAATATTTCATGATTTAATTAAATTTAATAAAATGTATCACTCGTTGAAAGACATGGAAAATATTAACACAATTCAAATCAACGCTAAATCAGGTATTTATTTGTATTAACTTTTTAAAATAATTAGATTTTAAACATAAACCACTGCTTTATTGTGTTTACAAAATATCGATTTAATTAATTGTATTATTTTTATGTTTTATATTTGCAATTAATTAAGTGTTTTGTTTGTTGTATGAAAAGCGATGTCTGAGACAATTGTGATCCACGACCTGTTGGATGAGTTGCGCGAACTCAACGAAATACTCCGCAAAAAGTTGTCATTTAAGAGACAATTAAATGAAATGTTGGAAAATTTCAAACAAAAATCATTGGTTTTGATAAACAATTGTAAATGTAATCAAAACATTGAAATATTTCACGATTTTATTAAATGTGAGAAAAATTATCACTCATTGAAAAACGCACAAAACTCTAATGACAATCAAATCAATACTAAATCAGGTATTCATAAAAATGTACACAAATTGATGTTTTAAACAATTTAGTAATTTATATAAAATATTTTATTAAACAAGGAGTGAATGCAAAACGGTTTTGGCAACTCTTAAGACACAAATTACCGCATCTGATCTCCGGCGTCGACACGAAGACACACCGGAGACCACTGCTGGCCCGCAATATGAATGACATCACAACTGGTCATACCTTTACCGCCGGTAATCATATGATGGCCACCGATGCTATCAAAACCACTAGCGATATCATTGAACCCAATGTCGTGTCCATTGACTTAAATCCCACCGAAAGTGTTAAACAAAACTCATATCCAATTATTATCGGTATTTAATGACTTTCACATCATTTTATATTTTAATTACATTTTTATTGCCATTTGTTTAGCAGACAATGGCCCCGAAGTCCTGCCATTGATCGGTGACGACTGGACACAAGCGGCGGATAAGCAGTTAAAAGCCAAACAAGAAATCATTGATATACTGGACGACAGCGACAGCGAAGATACGGCCGCAACACCAGTCACTCCAACGGTTCCAACGGCTACTGTCCACCACTACGCGAGTGTTAATCAAACGGCAAATATCTGGTTACAGACACACAACGGTATGTTTTACCGGAAAACTGTGGATCAGTTGCACGCGTCCGGTGACCAACAGCAACACATCCAGACTTACCACCGATTGTCTACAGCGCTGGCGACGACGACAACAACATCGAAATTAGCCACTAATCCACGGAATCCGCCGCTGACGATCACAGGTGAAAACACTGTACCGGCAACTAATCCCAAAGTCTATCAATGCCTGGAGTGTCACAAATCATTCCTCACCAGAAAAGGCTTACAAACGCACAACGGTTTGCGTCACACGAAGTCACGGAATGATCGGTTCAATAGGTATCGGTGTAGTCGCTGTAGGCGTCGGTTCGTATCGCTGGACAAACTACACGACCACACCATCAATGGTCACAAGCAGTGGCCGTATCGGTGCCCTCACGACAGGTGCGGCCGATCGTACGTAACCACATCTCGCCTTCGGCATCACACAGATGTCTGTCACCGAAAGCCCAGCGCCAGTACTATTGATAGCAATTTGTTAGACACAGACTTCGGCCCCAACAACACCGCCAACAGTGGCCGCCATATATCACACGATGAGATGATCGACGCGAAGACGCGGTCACCCGAGGAGTGTTTGTCGCCCAGCGATATGTGTGGCCAACAGTTGGCCACCGATCACGACGAGGACAGCGACAATTCCATTGAACCCAATCTCGTCATTGACTTGAATCCCACCGAAAGTGTTAACCAAAACACTTATCCAATAGTTTCCGGTAATTATAAATAAGAAAATTTAATTAACTCTAATCAAGCATTTAATTACATTCATAATTATATTTTTACAGCAAATAAGACACAACCAATGGCCGAACCGCGCGGTGTCAGCGGTGAAGAACTCGAAACGGTATCTCAAGACCAGCCAATACGGCCGAAGACACCACCGATGCTCAGTCTGTTTCGCCGCGTTTTGAACAACCAAACGGGTGAACTCGAGTCGGTCACCACCGCTGACGCCGAGATCATTGTCGCCGAACCCGATATCGCATTCATTCTCATGAATAGCGCCCAAAGTGTGGATCCAATAATTTCCGGTATTTAATAGCAAAAAATTGAACTTCACGTATAATTTCATTTCATTTTTACCACAATTTTTTAAAGCTATACGGCGTCAGACGGCTACGGGTGTTGTCCAAGTAATTGACATTAAGAAGTCGGCGACGGACACCGCAACTCTGGACGGGATCCAGTGTCCCGACTGTGGCAAACACTTTACTAACAAACATGTGATGCGCTCACACTATAAATATGAACACTCGCCGGTTGACCGCCAGCGAGTGTATGCCTGCCATTGGCCCGGATGTGACCATAAGACCAAACATAAGGGCCATTTAAAAAAGCACCAATCGGTCCACAGCTCGGACAGGCCCTACCCGTGCGATTGGCCCGGTTGTGACTATAGGGGCAAACTTAAGATCAATTTAAAACAGCACCAATTGGGCCACAGCTCGGACAGGCCCTATTCGTGCGAATGGCCCGGTTGTGATTATAGGGCCAAACGTAATACCTTGCTTCAAAAACATAAGCACAAACACAGCATCGATAAAGCTTATGCCTGCGATTGGCCCGAATGTGGCAAAACTTTCAAATACCCGGAAGGGCTTCGCTTACACCAAGTGATCCACACAGGAGTGGAGATACCGTGCGATCGGAAGGGCTGTGCCTTTAAGACCAAACATATATCGGCGCTTAAGTCACACAAACGACTCACACATGTATGAGTCATACATAAAGACGTTAAAAATGTGTGTATTTTGGATATAATTTGTGATCGCTTAAGACGTTGGATCAGTTAAACTATTAGATGATTGTATTAACACATTTTGTGTGTGGTTTACATTAGTCTCCGAAATTTGGTGTAAAAAGTCTAGTTACTGCTACCATATTTCGTAGGCTAGTTTACATCTTAATGGATAAGACATAAAGCCTGTACTGACACCAGAAAGCGATTGCATTTTAATGACGGATACATACATACCATTAATATAACCCTATTTAATAGGTTAATACAAACTAAACTTAACACTTTGTATTCAATATAATCTATGTTTAACGTTTTGAAATATCTATCAGTATATTATTTGTACAATAATGGAGAGCCTTATCATCAAAACCTTAACTTTAATTCAATTAATAAAAATTAAACAAACATTTTAATTATAATATTTAAATAAATAAAACATTTTAATCAAATCAATGCAAAGTTTGTTTGGAGAACTTTTTATTGAAAATAATGTCATTGAAAAATCAATACAACAAAAGCACCAAAAAAGTGCATTTTTCACAAATATTGCCCTAAATTTACCAAAACTTCAATATTTATCTATTAATTGCAAACAAATGACAGACAATACGTGCCGTGAATTGTCTTTATTGCCTAAAATACAGTCCATTAGACTCTCCATAGACTCGATGTCCACTTGTCTTAGCGATTGGTTGTCACCGAAAATCATTGGCCTTTATATTAATGACAGAAATGTGTTTCAACGAAAACTAATTGTAATAATTATGCAATTATTGTATTATTACTATTGAATTCTTAATAAAATACTTATTTTATTGAATAAAAGCGTATTTTACTATTTATAATATAATTTGAATTTATTGATTGTTATACACGTAATGCATACAACAAATGCTAATTTCCAATGCTAACGTGTAAATGGCATGCATTGTCTGCATGACCACTAAAAATGGTCACAAAGTGTGTCAGAGGGACTGCAATTAAGTGGTGGTATATTAGTGTGAGCCGGTGTGGGGCCGGTCGGCAACTCGTCCAGTGTATGGCCGGTTATAGCGGCGACCATCGGGTGGTAGCGCGCGGTGTGAGCGTTGAGGCCACGGCGGGTGTCGTACGAGCGGCTGCACCGGTCGTGTGGGCACTGATGCGTCCGTTCGTGAACACCGACCACGTGTTTGTCCAAATTATGTTGCGATTCGTACCGTCGGTCACATCCAACGCGCGGACACCGGTAACGCTTGGGTCGACCCAACTGTATGTGCGGGTGATCTTCGCGAACGTGTTTATACATACAGTGTTTGGTTCGGAAACGTTGGCCACACGTCCACAGCCGACACGCGACCGCTTCGCACGCTTTCGCGCGTGTTTTAGGCGGCAAAACACTGTCCACCGCTTGTGTGCGGCCGCCGGCCATCTGAGCCGACACAGGCTGTTGTCGAGCCTGAGTTGGTTTCCGGCGAGTCATACGGTTGTGTGTTTGCAATCCTATTGTCGACTGTTTGGTCATTGATTTAAGCCCTCGGCCACCCGTTTGGCGCTCTATATTACGGCACAACAACGCCCTCCGGCGAGTGAGTGGAGCCGACGGGCTGTCTGTCGCCTGTGTCCACCACCAGACGGTCTGATCCGCCAAAGAATGAGACACTGGTTGTGGTCTCCTATGAGTAATACCTTTGTGTGTCTGTAAGCCGTGTTTTGTGGCAAATGCTTTGTCGCACTCCAGACACGGATACGCCATCGGATCAGTTGCCGGCGCCGTGTCTTCAGCCGCGATCGTCAAGTCTTTGTAGTCACTCTCTGTCCGTGAAATGCGATTAAAATTATTATTAAAAACTTATAAACAGTGAATCAATTGTTTATGTTTTACTGGTCAATACAAGTACCGACAACTATTGGCTCAACACTTTGGGTGACATTCGTGGAACCGATATCGTGAGCAGTGATATCGACATTTGTGTCGTCCAACTCTTGTCGAACTGTTCGGTGGTTTAAAACAGTTCCATACAAAGAGTCCGTCGGTTGCGGTGTATTCGGCAGTATTAGCTGGTCGTCCGGTGCGTCCGTTTCGGGTACTTCACGGCCGCCGTCGCCACAGACTGTCGACACTTCGTATGACCCCCTGTGCTGACGTCCGACCCGTACGGACACCGGTGTTGTCTCACGTGGCGTAAGATTCACTCGATTGTCAAGTAGTGGCGCCGACGGAACGTAATTATCAATACTGGAGTCGGAGGTCAACGGCTGGACAGAGAGAGTCTGGACCACTGATTGAACGGTCGGTGCGGTATCTTCGGTGTCGCTGTCGTCGAGCATAACAACAATCACTTGCGATGTCTCCCGCCGTTTGGCCATCGCTTGTGTCGTATCTGTTGTACAAAATATAATTAAAATTAAAAATTAAATGTAATTTATATTTATAAATAATTACCGGAAATTATAGTATTATTGGCCAACTGTGGCCGCACTAATGGGGACCGCCTTCCGTGGTATCGATTTTGGTAGTGTTGGGACACAAACTGTTTGCCGCACCCGTCGGGCCGACAGCCGTAAATGTTGAGCGATGAGACCGTATGCAGGCTTACGCCCGGGTGTACGGCCCGGATGTGTGCCGTCAAGAGATCGGCACTTGAATGCCGTTCGCCGCACGTGGATATGGGACACACGTATTGGCCCCTATTGGCCACCGATCCACCGATGATCACATCCGCTGACCGGTAATTGTTGACCGGCGGCTGCCATACAGTCGGCACCGTCTCTGCCGACACCCGTTGAAGGCTGGCTACGGCTATACCGACGGCGTATTCGTTGTCGTAATAGTCGTCGAGTATATCAATGACCTGTTGTTTAGATGGCGTGTTAGTCATGTCGACCCCGTTATCCATAGGCTGTGGTGTCTGTTCTTCGCCGCCATTGACTATACAGAAGAATACGAAGAGATTTTAATTGATTTAATAATAGTATTTTTAGCGCAAAATTAATTTGTCATTAAATACAAGAAACTATTGGAGAAAAGTTTTATTTAACACTTTTTTGAATTCTATGAGCAGTTGTTTTGACATTAATTTTAAGCACTTCTTCGTTGACTACTTTTGAAAGGAAATAATTATCTTATATAACATGTAATTTACAAATAGAAATTTAAGGGAAAATCATAATTAATACCTGATTTAGCGTTGATTTGATTGTCAATATTTGGATTACATTTACAATTGTTTATTAAAATCAATGATTTTCTATAATTATTTGCCAAACGCTGAGACAATTGTCTCTCAAATACCAACTCTTTGGTAAGTCTTTGGTTGTCTTCGCGGAACACATCCAACAAGTGGTTGACATTTATTTCAGACATAAGTTTTTAATAATTAAAACTTATTAAAACTAATCTGCAATTTAATTACAATAATACAAACTTAAAACTTTTAATCACATTAATTGTAATCACTTGTATGTCATTCCCATTATAACAGATAACATGAATAGAAATATGAAAAGTTGTGCCGCACTTGAAAAAAGTTGCCTTTTTTACAGGTAATCCGTTATTGCATAACACAATGCAATACTGACCGCATGTTTCTCGGGTTGGCTGTGAAAAGAGCCCAAAATATTTATCTTCACATAAACTTTGACTCCAAAATGTTTTACTGTTTATTATGTAAGAAACAAAGGATTAGTATTGCATTGTGTTATGCAATAAAGGGTTGGGTTAACTAAATAAGGTAACTTGGGTCATAACATGGCGTACATTTTCATGTTTTATGTATAGGTTGTACATACAAATGATTATATAAGCATAAAAAATTTATTCCAATTTAATCTTGATATTAATTAATTATTGTAATCACTTATTATTGAAAAGCAATGTCTGAGACAATAGTTATGAGAGATCTGATGGATGTGTCGCCCGAAGACATTGAAAAACTTCGCAAAGAGGTTGTATTTGAGAGACAATTGTGTGAATGTTTGGAACAAATTAAGGATAAATCAATGGATTTTATAAACAATTGTAATCAAAATATTGAAATATTTCACGATTTAATAAAATTTGATGAAATGTATCACTCGTTGAAAGGCATGAATGTTAACACAATTCAAATCAACGCTAAATCAGGTATTGATTTCGATTAACTTTTTTAAATAATTAGTTTTAAACATAAACCACCGCTTATTGTGTTTACAAAATATTGATTTAATTAATTCTTTTATTTTTATGTAAAATAACACTTTTGTCATTAAATTGTTTGAATGTATTTAAAATAAATCTAAATTATCTTAAATTCAGTTATGTCGACGAGAAAGAGTCCCCGCATTAGCGCATTGAAACGTATTGATTATAAACAGCTTAATCTTTGTTTAAAGAGACAACCGTTAGGTATGTATAAAAAAACTATAATTTCATTAATTAATTGTAGTTTATTTCACCACAAAAAGTCTTCAGCGGTAATGACGGCCATGAAGTGGCGGATCAGCTAAAGATACGGCTAATAAGCCACGAAGAAGATGGGCCGCAGCTAACGATCACAGGTGAAGACACCGCACCGGCAACTGATCCGACAGTTTATAAGCGCTTCAAAACAATTGTCACAAAACATGGTTTACAGGCAAACAACGGTATACCTAAAAGTTACCGGTGTTCGCGCCCGGGCTGTGACCGCCGGTTTGCCGCTCAACAAAATCTGGACCAACACTTGCTGAGCGTTCACGAGTGTCCGTATCGGTGCCCGCGGGACGGCTGCGGCCAATCGTATGGCACCCAAATCGCTCTCCGGAATCACTTAGCAGATCACATAATGGCTGTCATCAGTGTTGTATCGGCTGCGGCCACACGACGCGCGGCCAGCCGTCCCACAACATCCGTAAAACACCGTACGCTGAAACACGTCCGCAAAGATTATCCGGTGACACATCACTCGCCGCGCACTTCACACACATATACAGGTGTGTCACCCGTTGTGTGATTACATACACGTGCGGTCACACGGC